AACTATAAAAATATTCAAAATTATAATAAACATTATCATCCTGTTTAACAATTACTTTAACATTTCAAGAATTATTTTAGATATTTGATAAAAAATATCTTCAATTTAATAAAATTGTTTCTATCATTATACTTAATGTCATCTTGAATTTTTTTAAAAAATTATTTTATTATTAATAATTATATTAAACATTGAACTTGAAGAAAATATTTTTGTTGCTATAACTGCATTCGAAAAATCTGAAATTTTTTTTTTTAATAATACTATATTTATATTAATTTAATATTCTTTCATAAAAATAACATTAAAAGTGTAAAAAATCCTTACACAAATGAATACTTATACAGTTTTATTTTATTGTAATCAATTTTATCAAAGAACATGTTAAATAATTATAAATAATTAAAATATAAATTCAATTATAATTTATAATATATTTTTTATCCAACAAATTTGTTCTTCTAACAAAATTGCCAGATAAATCCAAATTTTTCAAGAAAAACACCAAAAATTAATTCAAGACACTAACTACATAAAATTTTTCAACAAATTATAAAATCTGTCAAATTGTTATGAATAATATTTTTATAAAAAGTTATACAAAAATATAAATCAAAATTAATTGCTGAAAAATCAGCATATTAAAATATAATAAGAAATATAACGTTAATTAATTTCAAAGTAAATTCCAATATTTTCAATTGCATTTTTGAAGAAAATTATATTATATATAATTTATTTTGCAAAAACTATTCATTATATATTTTTATATAATAAAAATGTGTTTATCTAATATTGAACTAGGGACAAATCCGAATTTATCTAAAAAAAAAAAACACCAAAAATACAAAAAAAATTTTTTCCTAATCTTATTATTTCTATAATATTATATATTTATATTAAAACAAATTAAAATAAAATGATAAATATATTCAAACAAATATAAATTTTGAATTAAAATTTATGTAATTAATTAAATTTATTCATATATTTTTTGATCATTTGATGTCTTTTAGAAACATTTTTGAAAATGAAAAAAATCAGCAGAACTAATTTCAAAATTGAACTAGTGGGGTGTATGGCATCGTGCCTTAAGGCAAATTGCTGGAACTTCCCGTACCGTAAAGAAATGTTCTAGAAATATTGAATGTTTTCAAATAGATTATTATAAATGAATAATGTAACATTGTCTAATATTTATAAGAATTATGCAAATGTTGAATTGCAAAGTTGAAATTATTTGTTTAAAGTATATTAGAATTATAGTCAGAATTTAAATTAAAATCTGAATTATTTTCGATATACAAAAAAAAACTAAAAAAAAAAATGATACAATTTTTTTGTACAAAATCAATTATTTTGTTAAAACAAGCTGAAAGTTCGTTGAATCATTTAAATTGGACGCTTAGTTTTTACAAAAACTGCAATTTTTTTGCACAATTAGCTCTGTATCATCGAAATGGCAGGGCCCAGCACATCTCCCTGTCAATAGGGATCTAATGGCTTCTGGAATTATTCAAATCTGTTGACCCGTGCGCCCGAAAACGTCGACGAAAAATTGTATCCATACGTACACACACACGCATCAATTTTTTCTTAGGTATGCCAAAATGTTCAGAAACCTCTGAAACATGAAGAAATGTAAAAATTTTCAATTTCGATTTTTGGACGATTACAATAACTCATCCTGCGTGAAGTTAAAGAATAAATTTGAATGATATACAAAAATTGATATAAATCATTTTTATTTATTTATTCATTTGTTACACAGTTTACTAGATTTTTAAATTTTCTGCACAAATTCAACTAACTATTCTAAAAATATTTGGAATATTTAAACAATTTTTTTTTAAGTACTTACGAAAGATATTTAAGTTTTAGTTTGTATTAAAAAATGGAAAATATATAATTTTTTTTTATTATAAATAAATTTATCCATAACTGTTTGCTCCAACACCACCACTTGTAGGTTTTCCAGCATCGTTCACTCTTTGCATCACTAAAAAATAATAATAAAATATTATTATACACTAATTTGTTTATAACAAAATATTAAATATAAAAATAGATTTTTTTTGCGAAAAATGGCAGTTTTTGGAAGTACTAAGCGTCCGATTTGAATGATTCAAAAACTTTCTGCTCGTATTGACAAAACAATTGCTTTTGAGGAAAAAAATAACATCTTTTTTCATTTTCCATATTGTTATAACATCTTTTTTCATTTTCCAAAAAATATTTTTGTAATTTTGGATTAAAAATTAAAAAAATTCAAAAAACTACCCAGGCTAAGCACAGTCTAAGCGCCACTCTGGTACAAATGTTTACCTAAGCGCGTTTAGACTGTTTATGTACTAATGTTAATTCTGTGAAAACTATTGAAAAATGTGAAAATGCCGTCAATATAAGCACAGTGTAAATGAAAATGTCGCATAGAATTATTTGCAAATACATTTAGACTGTGACTATACGGGAGCACTTTTTCAATTTTGTGCAACTTTAAGGCAACTATTTTTTTTTTAAATTGAATTCGAAATGAAATGACGATTGTTAATGCTCTCGAGATAAATTGATTTATGATTTATGATTTATGATTTACATTTGATTTGCTCAGATATAACAATAAGATAGCAAAAATAATGAAAGTTACAGTATTTGTAATAATATATTTGGAAACGTTTAAAATTTCTCGAATATTTCATTACGGTACGAGAAGTTTTAGCAATTTGCCTTAAGGCACGATGCCATACACTACTAGTTTTTACTTACAATCTGCAGTAGCCATAGTAGAAAGTTTCCCTTCATTTCCATTGGTCAAAAATCCCAAAAATACAAAAATTACTAAAAGTGCACACTTTATAAAACTTGTTATATCCATAATTAATTAATTATTAATTATATTTAATTAATTAATTGTAGATTGTTTGATACTATAAATTTCAAAACGAATCGTATTTATACTAAATATTTATGTCACTATAAATCGATTAAATAAATACATTTCAAAATTATTTTTATCTTTTGCAGGATTTTTAAAATATTTATTTAAACAAATGGTTATTTTTGGATTAAATATTTTGTAATAGATTTTTGTTCAGAATAATATTTACTTTAGCCTCTTAAATACGCATTATTATTCATTGCTTTTGTTGCACGAATGTTATATCATCAATTTTAAATTATTGATTAATATTTATTATTTTAAAATAAAATGTTTATATTTTTGTGTTGATAATATTTGTGTGTATAAAAACCATTTGATTCCTATTGATGGCGAGACGTGTTTTTCAGGAAAAAAAATTTAGAAAAACAGGCCCATCCGTTTTGGAGGAAAATGTTCTAAAAATTGTCATTTGATTGATGCTCAAAAATCATAATTATTAAATAAAAATAATAAATGAATTTAATATTAATTTTTTAGAAATTTCCTATGAAATAATAAATTTAGATCGAAATAGTATAGTTTTTCAATTGTTTATTTATAAATTCATACATTTTCTATATTATTTTTACTATTTTGAAATTTTTCTAAAATGTTTTATACAATTTCTAAGGTTGCATTTTTAACTACAGTTAAATTTTCCAAAAAAATGTTAAAAATAAAACAAATGTTTTGGTGTTGTTTTGAATAAAATTTTGAAGGAAAATGTTCTAATGATTGTCATTTGATTGATGCTCAAAGATCATAATTATTAAATAAAAATAATAAATAAATTTAATATTAATTTTTAAAAATCTCCTATGAAATAATAAATTGAGAACGAAATAGTATAGTTTTTTAATTGTTTTTTTTATAAATTCATAAATTTTTTATATTATTTTTACTTTTTTTAAATTTTTCTAAAATTTCAAAGGTTGCATTTTCAACTACATTTAAATATTCCAAAAAATGTTAAAAATCAAATAAATATTTTGGTGTTGTTTTGAATAAAATTAACTTTAAAAAAACTGTCGATTTTCTTTTCCTAAATTCCAAAGACTTTACAGTTGCTAAATGTAATTCTAGACAATCATTTATATTATTCGAACTATTTTAATATATGTATAATTAATTTCATATATTAGTCTAAATCAATTTTCAAACTTTTGAAACTGATGTTCAAACATTTTGCTTATATCAAAATTTTTCAAATATTTTAAATTAATTTAACAGTATAATCTAAGTATAATGCTTAGAGGAATGATTTTTTTAACTTGAACCTCATAAATATTTTATAATAAAAGTAACGTTTACAAAAGTTATGATGTTTCAGTAAAATTCATTATATTAGATCAAAATTAAAACTTAAAATTTTATTTAATATTTTTTTAATTGTAGTAACAATTAATATAAATTTTTTCCACTTTTTGTAGAATTTTCTGGTTCTGTTGATTTTTTTGAAATTACATTGGAGACTGAATTTCCCAAAATTCCAACACCATATGCCAACGTTGTAAATTTTTCTTTAACATTTTGTAAACTATTTTTGAGTTTTGCAAAAATATTATCTGTAAAGCAAAAATTCAAAATTAAACATTTAATTTCATAATACACAGCAAATAATTATATTATTAGAAAATTTGTAATTTAAAACCGTTACAATCATTTATAAAAAGATAAATGTAATCTTTTTCTAATATATAATTATATTTATCTATGAGATTTTTATGATGCATTTCAAAATTTACAATAAATGTTTTCATATTATCTCAAACTAAATATAATATTAATATATAGCAATAATTTAAAAAAATTAAAATATTTCTTCAAGATTTGAAGTTTTTGCTTCACAGTTTATAATTCGTTTGTTTTAGTTCAATTTTTTGTAATATATATATATATATATATATATATATATATATAATTTATTTTTTGTAATATAATATGTAAATTTGCATATTTGGCAGTTTTGATTTTATTATTATTTTACTTCATCAATAATTAAACCAATTAAATTAATATTAACTAAAGTATACGAAAATATGTAAAAATGCAAAAGAAATTAAATGATATGAAAAATAAATCATTTACCATTTGGGTTTTTGTGTTCTTCTAATTGTTTTTCTAAATTTTTCTTTAAATTTTCTATATCTTCAGCACTATCATTTTTTAATACCTCATTTGCAGAATTTTCACTATTTTCAGCTTTTATTAAATTCAAATTAACACAAAATAAACTACAAAATATAAATACAAATATATAATTCATTTTTGTTAATTTTTACTAGGAACAATATTTATTAACTGAATGTTTTTTGCAACTCTTGTATTTTTTGTGTAAAATGTTTGATTTTGCAATTTATTTCGCAATATATTAATTTTTGGAACAATTAAATAAAATAAAATACTGTTTGTATAAATATTATGACGATTTGTGAAATTGAATTAAAATATTATTGAAATTATTTATTTAGAACAAATAAATATATTAAGATATTTATAGAAATTCACACTAGTTTAATATTAAATAGGGACATTAATTTATTTTATATTTAAATAAAATATGTAATAGGATATGCATTTTTTTTTTAAATATTTTTTGTAGACATTTATAAATATCTTAGACAACCTTTGCATTTAATCTTAATTTTTTTAAGTACAAAGCAAGATTTTTTTTATTAATGCAATAAATTATTTATTAATGTTTTTTATACATTTATTTGATATTTAGTCTAATTTTTTTATAAATACAGAACAAGATTTTTTTTATTAATAAAATAAATTATTTATTAATTTTTTTATGCATTTACTTGATATTTGGTCTAATTTTCTTATAAGTACAAAACAAGATTTTTTATATTAATAAAATAAATTATTTATTAATTTTTCTATTTGATTATATTAAAATTATTGGAAATTATAACTTCAAAATTTTGGAAATATTTTTTTTGTCTTTCATTAAAATTAGAATTCTAAACGCATGATTTTTTTTTTAATTTTGTCAAAATTAGAATTTATTAAATATTTTACAAAAATTGATATTTAGTCTATTTTTTTTAAGTACAGAACTAGATTTTTTTTATTAATAAAATCAATTATTTATCAATTTTTTTATTTGATTATATTAAAATTGTTGGAAATTATAACTTCAAAATTTTGGCAATATTTTTTTATCATTAGAATTAGAATCCTAAACGCATGAATTTTTAATTTTTTTAATTTTATCAAAATTAGAATTCATAAATATTTTACAAAAACTTGATATTGTCTATTTTTTTTTTTTTAAGTACAGAACTAGAATTTTTTTCCTTAATAAAATAAATTATTTATTAATGTTTTTATATATTTACTTGATATTTAGTCTATTTTTTTCAAGGACAAGATTTTTTTTATTAATAAAATAAATTATTTATTAATTTTTTATATATGTAAAAACTTGGTATTTAGTCCAATTTTTTTATAAGTACAGAACAAGATTTTGTTTATTAACAAAATAAATTATTTATTAATATTTTTATATATATATTTCATTATATCAAATTCATCGAAAATTATAACTTCAAAATTTTGGAAATATTTTTTTTTAATTTTGTCAAAATTAGAATTCATAAATATTTTACAAAAACTTGATATATAATCTTAATATATATATATATATATATATATATATATATATTTGATTATAATAAAATTACTGAAAATAATAACTTCAAAATTTTGGAAATATTTATTTATATTAGAATTCTAAACGTATGATTTTTTTCTTAATTTTGACATATCATATTACGGATATTATTTTCATGTAAATTTTATCCTTTGCACTTTTATTTATTTGAATTTATGTTATTATTTATCAATATTATTTGATGGTAATAATTTAGCAGTTGTAATAATTATTGAAATTAAAAAAAAAAAATGACATAATTTCAAATCATAATTTCAAATTTCATATGCAGCTTTATCTGTTAAGATAATATAAATATATAATATATAGTAAAAATATTGTCTTTTATGCACTTCATGTTAAATTACTATTATTAACTAATAATAATAACTAATAATAATTACTATTATTAACTAATAAAAATTTAAATTGCATTTTCTAGTATAAAATTCTAAAACAAAATTTCCAATCATCAATGTATTTATTTTAAAACAATAAATAACAATATTATGATTTTTTTCTCATGAATTATTTTTACTGACTTCGTTCAGAAGTTCTTCTTAATTGTGAAGAAAATTGTTGGAATAATTCTTTCAGTTTATTTTCAGCATTTTTAATATAATTTTGGACACGTTCCTTCATTTTGCTGAATTTTTCATTAACATTGTCTATGATTACAGACATTTTGCTCTTAAAACTATTGACAAGTTCTTTGGTTTTTCCTGACACTTTTTGAGACACCTCTAAAAGAATATTCAAATATAAATTAAAAAATTAAAATTAAAATTAAATTAATTAAATGCGACTGACCATTCGCCTGTGTTCTCAAATTATTTGCACCTTCAGACAATTTATCTTTATGACTTTGAATTTGGTTTGTAAAGTCTTGTCCAGCATTTTGCATACTATTTTTAAATGTATCTACATGTTTTTGTAATTCTTGACCATCAGTCAAGCTTTTTGCAGAATTTTGGAAACTTTCTAAACCCGATTGTATTCTTTCACTAAAAGGATTTGCATGGCTTTCTATTATAGAAAGCAAAATTGCAAAAATTGTAAAAATGTAGATTTTCATTGTCATAGTTTGCAATTAGACTAATCAAATGTGAAATAAAATTAAGTTGTGTTTTTTATATTTTTGTTTTTCGTAATGTATAAATAATTTTTTTCAAGAATTTCGTAAGTCAAAAAATAGTACGCGTTGTTTTTGTAAATTCAAATAATTTGGTAATAAAATTTGTACATAAATAAGTGACGTGAAAGTATTTATAATAAGTACCAAGAAGTTAAATTTTTGATGTTTTCACAAAATCTTCTAAATTCAAAAAATTTTTTTATAGGAACTCAAATACTGTTGTAAGAAGTCTTTGAAACTTTTAACCATTTGGTATTAAAGATATAAACTATTGGAACCAAAAATTTTGAACTTAGTCTAAAATCCTTTAGAAGTTTTGAAAAAATTATCAACAAAAATCATATCCACAGAAAATTGATGAAAGTTTCAAAATCTTGATAAAATTCTTGATATTCTCAAAAAAATCTGGCTAATTGAAAACTTCAAAGTCTTTCACAACATTTAACAATCTCTTTGAAAATTTCCTCTGGAACCAAAAACTCCTCATTTTTTTCTAAAATTCTTTGAAAATTTAAACAATTTGTCCAAAACAATAACAATCACAGAATATTTATGATAATTTCAAAATCTTGAAAAATTTCTTGGAACTTCAAAGTCTTTCACCAAATTTAACAATTACTCTGAGAAATTTTTCTGGAACCAAAAAATCATCAATTTTTTTCAAAATTCTTTGACAATTTAAACAAATAATCAACAAAAATCACAACCACCTAAAATTATGAAAATTTTTGATATCCTTAAAAAAAATTGGTCTAATTAAAATTTCAAAATCATTCATAACATTTAACTATCATAAATTCTTCTGGAACCAAAAAATCCTCAATTTTTTCTAAAATTCTTAGGAAATTTACAAAAATTGCTAACAAAAATCACAATCACAAAAAATTCATGTGAATTTCCAAACCTTGATACAATTTTTAATATTTTCAAAAAATTTGGTCTAAAGTCTTTCACAACAAAAATCCTCAATATTTTTAAAAATTCTTTTAAAATTCACACAATTTAGCAACAAAAATCACAACCACAGAAAATTCATAAAAGTTTCCAAACCTCAATTAAATTTTTGAAAAATCTGGTTTAATGGATACTTCAAAGTCTTTCAGAAATTTCTTTAACAAGAAAAAAGAATTCAAAATCTTGATAAATTTTTTGATATTCTCAAAAAAATCTGAAAAGTCTAACTGAAATTTCTAATTAAAATCTTTCACATCTTTCTTCAGAAATTCCTCTGGAACCAAAAAACTTCCAAAAAAACCTCCAAAAAAAACTTTTACAAAAATTCCTAAAATTGATGCAAAATAAAGCCAACATTTATCACAGACAAAAACCAACAACTAACAATTTTAACAATTTTATTTATTAAAAATATAAAAAAACAAATACATGTTAAAATTAAATATTATTAATCATTATTAATTTAATTTTTCCAATTTAAAGTCCCTCATTTTTTCCCCAGCCCTTTTGACCAATTTTTTGACCTGTTCCTTGGCTTTGTTGAAGGTCTCAGAAATTTGTTCGCCAAGTTTTCCCATTTGTTCTTTGAATTTGTTAAAAAGTTGCCCTGCATTTTCTTGAAGGGTCTCTGAAGCACCTGGGAAAAAAGATAAATAATAATAATTATGTATAATAAACTCAAATGAAACGCCGATGTTGTCTTAGCCATGTATTATTAACAACTATATTTTACATAATAATAAAGAATAAAATTAAAAGCTCAAAATGGCGGGTCAAAAGCACCCCTACCAGATTTTGGTTATTTGTAAAAGCACACCGTTAGATGGCGACATAATTAATTATATTTTATCCATATTCCTGCCCGATGCGCAAGCATGCGTCATTACATGAATTTGTAAAGTTTAAAAATAACTAATATGCAGACAAATATAATAATAATAAATCGAATAAATATTAATTTTAATATATATATATATATATATATATATATATATATAATAAAATTGTGAATAACAAAATTCTTAACATTTTATTTCTTAGTCTTAGTATTTTATTTTTTGGTCTTTTTTGTAATTTTTTTAACCAATTATTTACTTTCACATACAATTTATATAAATTCAATTATTAAACTTATACACTGCATTTGCACCAATTTTAATTTTTTTTAGAATTTTTAAAATTTCTTTTTACCTTGTAACTTCTTCAAATTCTTCTTGATGACGTCATCCTCTTCTTGGACACCACTCTGAACATTTTTGACACCACTTTCGAACTCGTTGGTGAATTTATCGATATTGTCACTAAAACTGTCGGCTTTAGCACACAAAAATACATTTAGGACTAAAAATGTTAGTAAAAAAATAGTACAGGACCTCATTTTTAATAAATTTAGTAAAATAGTATTTTTTAGTATTTTTTAGTATTTTTTATTATTATTTTTATTAAGGAGTGTTTCGTCGACTTTTGGATTTTGTTCTGGTGTATTTTATATGAAATTGTGTTTTCGATTATCTATTTCTGTCAGGATGCTCTTGACATCTTGACCTGCCTTCTTATCTAATCTTAATAATTGGTAATACGTATATTATTATGTTATCTTATGTTATTTTATTATGTTTTTGAGGAATTTGTTGTAATAAATTTATAAATAGTTCTGGGAAACTTTATTTTGCAAAAATGCACAAAAATTCCATTTTTGATCACGTCTTCTGTACCATATTCTGTTATATTTTAAAATAATTATAAACTAAAATTTCAAATCATTCATATTTTATTGATAAATTATTGGTCAAGTATAAATTATTCATTGATTAATATATATTATATAAATAATATATAGTATAGTAATATTGTAAGCTTTTTTCTATGTATGTTGATTCTATATCACTCGTACTAAAATAGGACAACTGGCAAAATACAGTTTGAAAAATTACATAATAATTTTATTCATTTAACATAAATTATAAACATTTAGTATGATACTATATGAATCACTTTATCTTCTCGCTGGGTATTTTTTTTTAATTTCTTTTAATTATAGCAATCAGAGTCAACATGACTCTATGAGGCTGGGTATGAATGTTTTTTTTTGTTGGAATTAATTATTGTTAATTCCTAATATTTCTTTGCCTTTATCTATAGCTCTGGTCACAGATTGTTTTGCTAATTCCACTGCACTTTTTTTTGGATAATTTATAATAATTGCATCACCTTGTCTGGTCAATCTTCCATCTTTAGCTGCACTTACAATATCAGCTAAAATAATAAAAAATATTATAATTTTTATTTGAATCGAGTTGAATTTTAATTTATTACTAAACAGTTTTTTGTATATTTTTTCTATTGCTAAACACACTTACAAAAAAAATAGTCTAAATTATTAGATCTTGAAATTGTGTATAGTACTAAAATTTATTGACTATTTTTAATTCGTGCGAATTTTATTTTCAATAAAATTAATTTATTATAATATTTCACTAACCGAAAATGCTTTTATTGAATTTTCTTATCACCAGTTCGTAACTAGATTTTCGGTAAAGTACTAATATTTTATAAACAAAATTAGTTTTATTTTAAATTTTTATTTTCTGTAATTTTTTTTTATAAATTATTTATTTTTTAATTATAATTGTTACCTGCTGAAATTCCAGGTTGATCATTTTTTCCAGGAAAAGCATCATTTAAAATAACCATCGAAACCAAAGTGAAAAATACTAAAAAAAAATTTACAATCTGCATTTTGGAAATGTATAAATTCTACTCGATTTTCATTATAACAATAATATATTTTTTGTAAGCTTTTGGGTAGTAAATAAATTTATTTCGTAAATTGCTTACTGTCAATAATTACGAAATCGGTTGAAAATTTCTAAATATTACAAAATATTCTTCAGTAATTTTTAATAATAATATGTTAGTTTTCTCGCCTTTAATTAAAACATTCGCGACAAAAAAAATTTATAAATATTATCCTAAAATTTGTTATTTTTTGTCATGGACTTTAATTATGTCAATTTTTATCACATCAAGTTATTTAAGAAAAATATATTTTATATATATACTTATAAAAAATAAAATTTATTTAAGCAAATAAACTACTAATAATAAAGTTGATATTAATAGATATTAATAATGATTTATTATTAATTATTAAACGTTGCAAATGAATATTTTTTATATAATTTAGATTTTTTCTTTAAATTATTCATTTATAAAAAAGACAATCAAATTTTTTTACCTTGTTTTTAAAAAAAGGATTAATGATAAACAATAATATAATTACTTTTATATTTATTTTATAATATGTTTGCATAATTTTTGACGTTTTGTCTTTTAACTTCATTTTTTAAAACTTTTTGATTTCTTGGACATAATAATAATAATAATAATAATAATAATAATAATAATAATAATATAAATTGTTACATAGAAATACATTAATGTTTTATAAAAAAAATTCTATTTATATTTTTATAACATTAGTAACTGATTCAATATTGATATCAAACTCATTATTTTAATTTGTAGCTAAATTAAAAAAAATATATCATTTAATTAAGCGTTTTAATTCAAAATGAATTTTTATTTATCTATATAATTAGTGAATAAAATAAAGAAAATTAAAAAAATATTATAGAGGAAAAATGTTGATATACAAATATTATGTTATATGAAAAATCTGTAAATAAAAATATTTATACACTGAAAATAATATAAGAATAAATTGTGCCTTTGCATTTTTTGAATAAAAATATATTTAATATTTTTACATAATAATTTGTTTATATGATTTCATTATTCATAAATAATATGTGTATATATTTATTGGAAATTTCTATTTAAAATCATAAATATCATTAAATAAAGATATCCTTGAAAAAAGTCCTTATTATGCTCCTGCAAAACCTTCAGCAAAATCAGAAACTGCTCCAGCAGCCTTTTTTACAGTATTTTTTGCTTGTTCAGCTATTTTGGAACCAGTACTTTTTCCATCTGTTAAAATAAAATATATAATAATTTATAAAATTATTCATAATATACATATTAACCAAGTTATATATAAGTTATTCAAACAAGTGTGAATTTACAAAAATTGAGTGCATTTATTTATTAGATAAATCATAACTCTTAAACCATTATATTTAAAGTTAAATATAAATAGGTATAATATTTGACAAATTTATGTAAAATTGATTAATTTATAATATCGTCTAACATCAACATCTCGGTATACCTTAAAACCACATAAATATGAACCTGGTTCATTATGATTTTGGTAAAACGCATCACTCTCGTTAATCCGGCATATTTTACTTACCATTCGATTAATATGAATGGTGTATTCGGGATACTTAACCGTTATTAAATTATAAAAATAATTGGTATACTCTAAAAACGTTCTGAAATATACAAATAAAATTCTTTCGCGTAATGTTATTTGGTGAAATGCATCGCTTTAGTAAATCCGACATATCTTTTTACTCAATCGATTAATATGATTAGTGTATTTAGAAAATATATGCACTATTAAATTATAAACACAATTGTCTTGTATCATACATCCCTACAGCAACTCGGTATACTCTAAAATTGATCTCAAATACACAAATGTAATCCTTGAGCGTTATTTTTGGTAAAACGCATCACTTCGGTAAATACGACGTATCTTTCTAACCATTCGATTAATATGAATAGCGTATTTAGGATATTTATACACTATTAAATTACGAATAAATTAGTCTAATATCATAAGTCCCTACAACAACTCGGTATACTCTAAAATCGCAATTGAAAATTATACTTACTTCCGCCAGTAGTTTTTTGACTAGTATCCTTTCCAGCAGCGACTTCTTCAAATCCGAATATTAGAATAGTTGCAACTAGACATACAAATAGTATTTTAGAATTCATTTTTAATAATTAAAAAGTTAATAAATCAAATTAATTTAATTCCACTCTTTATTTGATTTAAAAAAAAATGGTTCATATATATAGTTTAAAAAAAAATTACGAAATTGATAAATTTCTAAATACAACTGTTTTTATTGCTTTCAAATATATTTTGAAATATTTTTTCACAATTTTTTATAAGTTCAAAATTATAAAAAATGTTGTTTTGCAAGTATATATATATATATATATATATATATAACAAAGTTTTCGAAGATATTTTTAATATAATAAAGAATTTGTATGAATTAATTTTTAGTAGTGTTTTTTTAACAAATTCATAAAAATATATAAGAATATCAATAAGTTTCTGTAATTTAAATTATTTATTTAAATATTAGGTATAAATACAAATAAAATTTACACATTAATATCGATATAGTAAAATAAATAAATAACATGTATAAAATATGAAAAATAAAATTCAAGAACAAAACTTCGAATTAACTTTTGAATATTATCTCTATGCTATTAAATTACTATAATTTATTTTTTCATTATATAATAAATTAATTTTCTATATGAAAAATGTTTCTTATATTTTTAAAAAAATCAGTATCTTAGTAAATCTCAATTTAGTAACTATTATCTTCACTAAAAATCTCACTGTACTTTTGTCAAAACATTTTTCATATCTCATTAAATTTTTGGAAAATATTTTATTATTTATACTTATTATTATAATTATATTTGAAAGTGTGATATATTTAAATTTCAGCACGTCAGAAAAATCACAGTGCACTGAGGGTCGCATTTACCTTGTCAAAGCGTTTAATCTAAATCCTGGGCATAAATTGTTGCACTTTTTTAAGAAAGTTGATAATATCTCAAAATATTGTTAGACTATGTATCAATTTTAGTATTTTTTGACATAATAAACATATTAAAGTATAACATATAAAAATTATAGCATTCTATATAATTTTTGTACACTAAGGGTCACATTTACCTTTGTGTGAAAATCGTGGTACTTTCTTGCTAAAATTATTATTAACTCAGAATTTCGTTAGACAACACATTGATTTTAGTTTTTGATGTCATAGAAGATGTATTAAAATATAACATATGCAATTTGTAGTATTTTAAAATTATTTTTGTACACTGAGGGTCAGATTTAACTTGACCCTTCATTTTAAAGAACCACCGAGTATGTTTTGTATGCAAATCGTGGTATTTTTTTTATAAAATTGTAAATATCTTACAATTTTGTTACAAAACATATCAGTTTTAGTATATGTCGTCATAATAGATATAATAACATATAACATATGCAATTTGTAGCATTCTAGAGACACTTTTGTACACTATGGGTCACATTTACCTCGACTTTTCATTTTCACGAACCACCAAGTATGTTTTGTATGAAATTAATAATGTCTTAGAATTTTGTTAGACAACACATCGATTTTAGTATTTGCCATTATAGTAGACATATTAAAGTATAACATATA